CAAATAATATATTGGCTTTTGCTGGTGTTCATAGTCACAAATGAGCACTCTACTGACGGTAAATTTCGATACGGCTAAGTACAGGAAGAAAATTTTTCCTTGAGTTAGGATAAACAGAGTTGGGNTTGGCTTTTGCTGGTGTTCATAGTCACAAATGAGCACTCTACTGACGGTAAATTTTGATACGGCTAAGTACAGGAAGAAAATTTTTCCTTGAGTTAGGATAAACAGAGTTGGGAAAACCCTGAGGTACTCCTTGATTCCCGCAAAGGCGTCCTCACATTCTTGGCTCCATGCATTTTTCTCGGCTCTTTTTATGGCTCCAAAGAAGGGTTTGCATTTGTCCGAGAAGTGCGAGATAAAANTGTCCTCACACTCTTGGCTCCATGCATTTTTCTCAGCTCTTTTTATGGCTCCAAAGAAGGGTTTGCATTTGTCCGAGAAGTGCGAGATAAAACGATTAAGCGCTGCTAACATGTCGGAAAGCTTTTGAACTTCTCTGACCATCCGAGGACTTCGGATGTCCAAGACCGCTTAGATTTGATCTGGGTTAGCTTCGACTCCTCACTGACTCACCAGATATCCGAGGAATTTGTCCGACTCCACTTTGAAAACGCACTTCGCTGCATTCAGTTTTAACTCATACTCCCAAAGGGTGGAGAAGGTATCGGCCAAGTCCACTAGGTGGTCACAACTTCTTCTGCTTTTGACCAACATGTCATCAATGTAGACCTCTATTGTATTGTCAATCTGCCTTTTGAACATTCGATTCATAAGTCTCTAGTAAGTAGCTCCGGCGTTCTTTAGTCTGAACGACATGACTTTGTAGCAATAAACCCCCCTCGGAGTGATGAAGGTTGTTTTCTCCTGATCAGGCGGATGGAAGGGGATTTAATGGTAGCCTGCCCTGGCGTCCAGGAAGTCCATGCACTGATACCCTGCAGTGGATTCCACCAACTGATCTACCCTTGGGAGTGGGAAGTCGTCTTTAGGACAGGCCTTATTCAGATCAGTGAAGTCCACGCAGACGCGCCATTTTTCCTCTTTTTTCTTTGCGCAGACTGTGTTTGACAACCATTCTGAGAACTGGACCTCCCGGATGGTGTTGGCCTCTAGGATTTTATCAACTTCCTCGTTCACCACCTGGGCATGATGCAACGCCTTGTGCCGTGGCTTCTACTTAACTGGCTTGTGTGTCAAATCAACATGAAACTTATGGATTATCACTTCGGGGTCCACCCCCTTCATCTCCATCGCATTCCAGGCGAATACATCTATATTTTGTTTCAGAAAATCTATCATCTCAGCTTGTTCGGTTGAAGGCATGGTGGAACCAATCAAGAAGTATATTTCCTCTTCCCCGTCTATCAGGGGCATTTTTCAAAGGTCTTCCACCGATCGTTCTACTGGATCTGTCTAGGGGTCGTCCACTCTAAGACGCCCGGACTGTGATTGCTATTTATCCAGGATCTCCTCCTGGGCCCGCCCTTCTCCTGGATGGAAATCCCTGCCTTGACAGCCGAATAAAAACAGTTCTTGGCAGACGCTTGGTCCCCTCGGATCTCCCTTACCCCTTCCGGGGTTGGAAACTTCAGCTTCTGGTGATAAGTGGAATGCACTGCCCTCAGTGCATGCAACCAGGCTCACCCCATTATAATGTTGTAAGGTGAGTCTATGTCAATCACAACAAACTCCGTGTTGATAGTGATAGGCCCAGTGATGACTGGCAACGTGATTTTATCCATCGATAGGGCAAATGAACCGTTAAATCCAATGAGGGGAGTCCTGACTTTGGTGAGATCTTTAGGACCAAGTTCCATTCGTTTCAAGGTTTTGGAGTACATCACTTCAAAAGAACTCCCAGAGTCTACCAATACTCTCTTAACATCGAAGTTGCCGACCTTCAATGTTAATATCAAGGCGTTGTTATGGGGGGGTTAACTATGCCTACAAGATCTGCGTCAGAGAATGCAATGTTGTGATCACCAATTCGAGCCCTCTTGCTGGGCTGGCCCTCATCTTCTTCAACCACCTTCCTTGTGAACGCCACCCTTTTGAGATCGGACTCAAGGTGCCTGGACGTTGGACACGCTAGTGGACATATGTGAACCACGTCTATTACGTTGTCCTGAATAACAGTTGAGTTATTGGGGGCCCGAACTTCTTTAGATTTTGGCTCAATGTATTCCTTGAGGTGCCCGTCGTGGACCAACTTTTCTAGAAAATATTTGTACACCCTATAATCTTCGATACGATGCCCCACATCTCGATGATAGGAGCACCTGACATTCTGATTCCGGGTGGACGGATCACNCAGATTTTGGCTCAATGTATTCCTTGAGGTGCCCGTCGTGGACCAACTTTTCTAGGAAATATTTGTACACCCTATAATCTTCGATACGATGCCCCACATCTCGATGATAGGAGCACCTGACATTCTGATTCCGGGTGGACGGATCACTCTGCATTTTAGGTGGCCATTTGAAGAATGGCTCACCCCGGATCTTCTGGAGCAGCCTGTAAATAGGCTCTTTAAATACGGTGTGGACTCCTTTAAAAGAGCTTACGGAGGGGGGTATCAATCCCTTCTGAGAGGCGTCCTCCTTCTCCCTATCTTTCTTCCTGGGGGTGGGGGCCCTACCTCTGCCCCCTCCCATTTCATCCTTGATCTGAGAATACTTATCTATCTGGGCCACTAATTCACTCATGTCTGACAAGGTCTTCTTGGTTAATGACCGGTATAGATCTGTATCTCTTGCCAGGCCAAGCCTGAAAGAGGCGGCTGTCATGACTTCTAAGCATCCCTCCACCTCATTGACCTCCTCCCAATAACGCGTGGCATATTGGCAGAGAGTTTTTCCTTCCTTCCGTCTGAGGGTTGGTAAGGACCCAACATCCTTAGGTCACTTACTTCCTGTAACAAACCGAGCAGAGAACTACTTGGTTAACTCCTTCCATGATCCGATGCCGTTGGGAGAGAGGGTTTCGAATCATTTCATAGCGGAGTCTCGTAAACTCATGGATAACACCCGACACAAGAGCCGATGGTCTGAATGGTAAAAGGACATCATCTGTTTGTACTGTCTGAGGTGAGCTTTGGGATCAGATCGTCCGTCATAAGTTTTGAACCTTGGCACTATAAACATCTTTGGCACCTCCATCTCTCGAATGTCCCTAGTAAAGGGGGATTGGATAGTTTCATCATCGGTGTCATCTTCCTGAATGACTTTACTCCTCTTGGCATCAAGCTGAGCTCAAAGGTCAGTTCCCAACTCGGGGGGAACCCCTCTAAGGTCCCTGTGCAGGCTAACGGGATACCTCCTTCCTGGGTGCCGAGTGGAGTGGGTTGACCCTCAGACTCCTCCACGCCCCCTCGCCCTGTCAATCCCCGACGGAGGTCATCCCAAGCCAAAGGTCTTGCCTTCTTGGTCTAGACATCTAGGGGATGCATTTTGGCCCTCGGACGATTTGGAGCCTTGGAACTTTCAAATTTATTGTTCAGGTGATTCCGCAAGTCTTCTGTTTCCACTTCCCTGATGGAGGGTTCCTGGGAACGAAACGAGCCTCTAGATCCTTTACCGAAAGTCGCAAATTCATTGAGACGGTTAAGGACATTCACGTTGTCCTCATCTAACTGCCNGAAAGTAAGCTGAAATCTAAGGCATAAATTTATGAGAGGATTAGTTGTTAGACAAAGACATAGTATATGAAGGATTAGTTGGAAACTCAATTACGGCACTACTCTGGTTGTCCACAAGATGAACAATGTGGCCAAGTCATGTTGAAATGATTTTATTTGGATAGGGGGGGGGGGGGGGGNCCGTAATCGACCCCCAAACTTCTCCTCGATCATTTTCGCTAGTTGATGGGTCAATGGGGCGGATCTTCCTAATCTGATGCTCATACTGGTTTAGCGGGTATGCCCCCTCGATTGAATGGAGATATTCCTGTCTACACCATCAACTTGATCCTTCGTTCCGGAACTAGAAGGAGCTTGCAAATCATGGTTTTTCTGCTGGGGCCCCCTTCCTTTCTGTCGAGTATTCATCATGGTCATTATTCTTTGAAAAAACTAATCATTTCCCACAAACGACGCCAGATTGTGCGTGCTGATTTTTGCACAACAGTAGAAGTAGGAACAGATCTCTCCTACGATGAACTGTGGTTTGAGAAGATAATAATTTCGACGGAACGTAGGGTTTGCTTTTAGGATTTTCGATCACCTCTGGTAGAGATTTGACCCATCCAAAAGTGGGTTTTGGCAACAAGAAGTAGGTTGAGAGGGACAAAAAGGCCCTAAGGACTAGTAATGAATTGTTTGTTGGGTCGCCTGACCGATTTTGGAAGACTGTAGGGGGATCCTGTGACACAGAAAAACAGGTTAGAAGGGTATCGGAGTGCTCTCCGGCGTATCCCCTCCGACGATCAAGTCAGTTCTTTGAGAGAGAGGAAGGAGAAAGCACTGTAGTTATTTCTTAGAAGTTCTTGTGTACCTTTTTAATGATTTTTGAGAACTATTTATACTTTCAAAAGCTCATGATTGCTAACAGTCCATTCAGCAGATATTTGTCAGAGATGGGGCAGTGTGCCTCTCACTTTTATGTGGAATGGGCTTTTCTTTAACTGATCGGGATGCCGAGCATTTAAAGCTCACTCCTCGGTCTGTCGATCATTCAATTTCTCTTTCTCGGCGAGGATGCATTAAATGCTCAGGCATGGGGGTCTTTAATGCACTTCACTTCTCGGCTCCCATGTCTTAATTGTTGTCTCATAAGGAAGAGGATTCATTAAATGCTTACTTGTTCCAGTCGTGTGTCAACAGGGATACCCAGGTCTTTTTGCTACTGATTTGATATCAAATTTCACGCGTCCTCCCCTCCTTGGTTGCATGTTTTGCATTCCTGCGCCCCCTGACACCATCGTGCAGAGCGTCTTCATGATGATTAGCCTAGCTTGGCCTAGGCTAGCCATCTATCAATCATTAGCTTTTGCAGAAACAAATGAGAGGTGGGATCCAGCGTACAAAAGGAACACCTCGGCACCGAGGAATATTTGTCCATCTTGGGGTCAAGGGTTTTTGTCGAGCCGAGGACACGTGTGTTGACCACTTCGATTGGGGAGATCCCTCGGCTCCGAGCACTATCGCCTCGGCTGATGGGGATGGGGTCGCTGAGGACATGTGGCCATTCCTGGCTGGAAACGTAACAATGCCGAGGACACGTGTCCCCCCCGATCTATCTTTTTCCAAAAATGTTCCATCAATATCATTCTGTACCCGTACAAGTAGTGACCCATGTAATAAATAAATATTATTTTATTTTTATATATATGTATATGGANGGAGAAAGCACTGTAGTTATTTCTTAGAAGTTCTTGTGTACCTTTTTAATGATTTTTGAGAACTATTTATACTTTCAAAAGCTCATGATTGCTAACAGTCCATTCAGCAGATATTTGTCAGAGATGGGGCAGTGTGCCTCTCACTTTTATGTGGAATGGGCTTTTCTTTAACTGATCGGGATGCCGAGCATTTAAAGCTCACTCCTCGGTCTGTCGATCATTCAATTTCTCCTTCTCGGCGAGGATGCATTAAATGCTCAGGCATGGGGGTCTTTAATGCACTTCACTTCTCGGCTCCCATGTCTTAATTGTTGTCTCATAAGGAAGAGGATTCATTAAATGCTTACTTGTTCCAGTCGTGTGTCAACAGGGGTACCCAGGTCTTTTTGCTACTGATTTGATATCAAATTTCACGCGTCCTCCCCTCCTTGGTTGCATGTTTTGCATTCCTGCGCCCCCTGACACCATCGTGCAGAGCGTCTTCATGATGATTAGCCTAGCTTGGCCTAGGCTAGCCATCTATCAATCATTAGCTTTTGCAGAAACAAATGAGAGGTGGGATCCAGCGTACAAAAGGAACACCTCGGCACCGAGGAATATTTGTCCATCTTGGGGTCAAGGGTTTTTGTCGAGCCGAGGACACGTGTGTTGACCACTTCGATTGGGGAGATCCCTCGGCTCCGAGCACTATCGCCTCGGCTGATGGGGATGGGGTCGCTGAGGACATGTGGCCATTCCTGGCTGGAAACGTAACAATGCCGAGGACACGTGTCCCCCCCGATCTATCTTTTTCCAAAAATGTTCCATCAATATCATTCTGTACCCGTACAAGTAGTGACCCATGTAATAAATAAATATTATTTTATTTTTATATATATGTATATGGAAAGTAAGCTGAAATCTAAGGCATAAATTTATGAGAGGATTAGTTGTTAGACAAAGACATAGTATATGAAGGATTAGTTGGAAACTCAATTACGGCACTACTCTGGTTGTCCACAAGATGAACAATGTGGCCAAGTCATGTTGAAATGATTTTATTTGGATAGGGGGGGGGGGGGGGGGGGG